GGCGAATTTTTTCTACAAATGCAAAGAAATGGGGTTTGCCTCATTTATATATTCGTACACGTGTGTGGGGCACGTATCGTTGTAATATCATGCATGAAGGTAACTAGGCTGAAATTTTAAAATAAAAAAGGGCTATATTGTTAAAATAACTCCACATACATATTTTTTACCTGGCTTAAAGAATGGGCACGATTTTTAATTTTAAAACGGGCTTCATTTTTACTGACGGGCCCAAAAATTTGAATGGACCAAATCTTTAATGACTGACCCAAAATAGTTTAAGATGCTCAAAAATTAATTTGTATATGAAATTTTATAAATTAAATTTCATTACATAATTATATAATTTAACTATATCAATTTAATTATTGTGAAAAAGGTTGTTGTATTTGAAATTTTTAAAAACAAATTTTATTGCATAATTACATAATGTCACTCCGGTTCCAAAGACCGACAATCTCTAACAATTCACTTCCGTCATTCAAGAACCTGATATATATTTTTTTAGTTGTTTGTGTGTCATTACAGTAAATACTGTACATGATACGGAAACGATGATACAAAAACCACGAAACAAGTGTATAATAATACTCAAATATTATTTCTTAAAACTATTTTTTCCCAATGATAATATTATGATTTTTTACTATTTTTTACAATTTTTATTATTTTTTCCTTTATCATATTATTTTTCGTGCAAATACAGGGGTTAAAACTAGTTGTCCAATATTTTGTGGTATTTTGTGTGATAAAATGGTGGACTTGGAACTTGATTTTGTGCCTTGTTATATTTTTGAGACCCTTGAAACTTTAAATATTTTGTGAAAAACCTTTGATTGGTTGAAACCTTAAATCGAGAGCCAAACCCTGGCCGTGTGTAGCCAAAAATTTGACCCAAAAAACCGGAAGCGTCGATGGGATCATTCATCCAGAAGTGTAGTAAACATATTATACGTTAGTTATACACCATCTATAATGTGTTGTTTTTTGGAGTGTGCAAAGTTTTTGGTTGAACTTTGTAAATGTCATGTAAAGTTGAAATATTTTTGAATTGATAAGTTATAAGTTCAAATTGGTGTCATGTAAAGTAGACATATGTTGTTTATCGAATGTACAACTACATTCAATTTAGATTTTGCAGTCATTCAGAATTGTGTATCATATTTTATACCGTTTTAGTTCTTCATATGTTGTTTATCTCATTTATAACTATATTGTTAAATTGCATGTTGTTTATATATATGTTGTTTACCTTATGTATATGTCTACAGTGTATCTGAACATATTTTCACGATCAATATCACTAACTCAATTACTTAGATTACACGTACGCTATAATTATACTAAATATATTTGTAAATTAAACAACTCTGTTAGTTCGATGATTTTTTTTCCACAATAAACGAGATTAAAAATTTATGAACAAATGAAAAACCACCACCTCAAATGTCCGCACCACGCTCAAGGAATGCAAGGACAGGTACAACGCGACAGTCAATAACTTTCAGAACACGCTCTACGCATTCATCACCAAGGGTATCGCCAACGCCTTCGTCGGGGCATGTGAGTGTTTGATTTCGGTAAAAGTGAATGAGATTTTCTTGCTCGCCGATTGAATTTGGTATTAAAAATCTACTTACAAAGCTATCAATGGTAAGTTGCACATTTGGTATGATTTTTGGAAAATCTGTTGGCAAAAAGTTGTCTTAATTTTGTCTATTACGAAAGGAATTAAAGACGGCGAGATCTTTGCGATTATAGTGAGAAATCGTATTTTGAAAATACTATCTCTATAAAAGTTTGATATGATGAAAATTTAAGTCTATCGTGTATCTGCAAATAAGATTTATAGCTTGCCTAAGTATGTAAATTACCCATAAATATTTAGTGACAAAATTTATCATCATTTTAAAATTTTGTATGGTGACAAATCCAAACAAATACATCACAATTACATGTTGTCATAAAAATTATTTTTTATGACAATTTAAAATATTAATATTATAAATATAATAATTGTCATTAATTGCAGATATTTAGAGATAATTTAATTTTTCATGAAATGAAATATATAATACAATGACAAAATCTATCATCACTTGAAACAATTATGTCATGAAAATAAAAATATAAATAAAGTGACAAAATCTTTCATCACTTATATCATGACACAAACACTCATAGCAGCATTAACCATATTAAGCTCATATAATTGATGAAATTATAATTAATATATGATAGTAACATGTTCTACATGATGAATTAAAAAAAAAAAATTATAGTAATTTTGCTAATTAAAAAACATAAATAAACGAACTAACAATCTCAAAATGTCCCAAACACAAATAAAAAAAAGAAAAATAAAAAAATAAAAAAAAGGCTAAGTACCTTAATAAAAAAAATATAGCAAATCCAATTGTATCACATTCTAAGTTGACATCTCTCGTGCGAAGTTCAGTCGAGATCTGGTATACGAGGGTCGATGTAATTGAGATGTAATTGATATTCAAAAACACTAGCCCCATGACCTTCTTCTTTCTAAGCATGATTGACAAAGGCTAAGGCAGCAATTTCAATGAACAACGGACGGAGTTTGGACGAACATAACAATAGATTATTGAAACCCTCATACGTAAAGCAAATAGCCTCTGTTTTACAGGACCATGATAAAAACCCATAACGTATCCTTTTGTAATTCAAGTGGTAGAACTTAGAGCTTATAGATGGGGAGGTGAGGAGAAAATTGGCGTAAAACGTTTTCTTCAGAGTCTCACTCGTTACCAGTGTCGACCACATCACCAATTTTGGATGCAACTATTGAGTACTCACTCGATTGGTCGACACCCATGCTCCAAAATGGTTCGAACCCTTTCAGACACCTTGATACTGACTCAGTCTTTAGACACCTTTTCAGCTTCCTCATTATTTATCGCCACCGTCACACCAACATCATATGGCCTTATAACTCGGTCATGCAGAATGTATCCATCCTGAAAATGACCCAAGTAAAAACTATATAAGAAATTTCATTTAATATTTTAAGGACACTGCTAAACAATGTCCCCCTTGCTAATGAAGCAATTAGGAAATTGAAAACCTAATATCGGGAGTGCGTACTTGGTTTTAACAATAGTTCATTCAATTTAGATTTTGCATTCATTTAGAATTGTGTATTATGTTTTATACAGTTTCAGTGTTGTTTATATGTTGTTTATCTCATTTATAACTATACGGTTAAATTGCATGTTGTTTATATATATGTTGTTTATCTTATGTATATGCATACAGTGTATCTGAACATATTTTCACGATCAATATCACTAATTCAATTACTTAGATTACACGTACGCTATAATTATACTAAATATATTTGTAAATTAAACAACTCTGTTAGTTCGAGGATTTCTTTTTCCATAATAAACGAGATTAAAAAGTTATTAACAAATGCGATTTCACTGACACCAATCTTTTTCCAGCTTTTTTTTTCTTCTTTTTTTTTTTTTTAAAAAAGGCATCTCCACCATCAATGGCCTCACCATGAAAACCACCACCTCAAATGTCCGCTCCACGCTCAAGGAATGCAAGGATAGGTACAACACGACAGTCAATAGCTTTCAGAACACGCTCAACACATTCATCAACAAGGGTATCACCAACGCCTTCGTCGGGGCATGCGAGTGTTTGATATCGATAAAGGTGAATGAGATTTTCTTGCTCGCCGATTGAATTTGGTATGTGAAAACTTTTTACAAAGCTATCAATGGTAAGTTGCACATTTCGTATGATTTTTGGAAAATCTGTCAGCGAAAAGTTGTCTTAGTTTTGTCTATTACGAAAGGAATTAAAGATGGCGAGATCTTTGGGATTATTGTGAGAAATCGTATTATTGAAAATACTATCTCCATAAGTCTATCGTGTATCTGCAAATAAGATTTATAGCTTGCCTAAGTATGTAAATTACCCATAAATATTTAGTTGGCTTTTCTCTTATGGGTCGACATAGTTGTGGTACCATGAACATATACCTATACCTTAACAAAATTTGATTGCATTCACTAATTGAAAGAAAAATGAGCCATGTGCATTTACGTTGAAAAGGTTACGAAGAACATTAAGCAGAACGAGGACTAACATTCTGAATTAGAATTCTCAATAACCAAGAGCACCTGCAAGGTGGCAATCAGTCTTGAACAAGAAAGAGGAAAAAATGGGCAGTCGTGCTGCATTATATCCTCATTTGCAGGGACGCCCCATTATACTCTAGGGAGAAGTCAGATGCCCTGCAACAATATTTTAAGATTTACGCCCAAGTATAAATTTGTATATTCGCAGCATTGAGAGGACATACGCAGAGAGAACCAAAAAACCTTTTGATTTTGTATATTGGCTGAAATAAAAAATATCTATCTGACCCCAAGTAGAATACAACATGGTTATTTGGGTAAGTTGACACCACCAACTGCACAAAACGACGTAGTTTCGCAGGGCAAAAACAAAATTAATTCAGATTTTGAAACGGGAAAAAATCCAAAAATTAATAAACATTTTGGAGGGTCCATTTATCAAAGGCAAGAAGCGCCACGTGTCCTGAGAGATATTATGGGTTACCCTGCTAAGAGTATGCATAACTTCAAAATTTTAGGAACTCAAGTTCGTTACAGTCTATCGCGTAACAGAAAAACAATCACATTTCATTTTTCCCCTGTTCTACGAACTCATTAGGCTTAGAGTTCATTGATTAGTTCATTGAAGGAACTGGATATTCATAGAAATCTATGGGTGCATCTTTCAGAATTACAAATACTATCTTCATATTTATTTCTATTTAAAAAACAACACCCTTCCCAAGACGTATTTCCTTATAACCCAATCAAATAATCAATCAATCATATTAACAAAGTATGAAACGGTAAAATTAACAACCCAAGAAAAATGCACAATCTAAATCGCTTATGGTGACATGTTTGACTATCATATTTTATTTAAAAAATATTACTTTGTCATTGTGGTAACAACAGCCTTCGAGGAGGAGTAGATGAAGCTTCCCGGTAACTACCCCCGACTAAGACCCGCGATGGAGGAGATAGTGATAACAGATCCGCCCAGTCGAGCATGACGCATTCACTAGAAACAAACTTTGAGACCAACCATGCCCCCCCTATTATTTGTACTCACTATGTTGTTTCATTCATCTTCCTTCAAATACAATGGGTATGCATACTATCTTTAAGTTAAAAACCTGCAGTTAGTTAGGCGGACGAATAACGACCTCACCGAAATAAGTTCATAGCTCACAACTACATACACATATCAATATAGTATCCTAACATTGCCTGGAATATGGGTTACCAGAACAAGATCCATGCTTTTTTAAAAAATAAAATCAGAACAAGAAGCTATAGTTTAAGCAAAAATAGGTTATGTATAATCAAACCACAGAGATCATTCATAGACACAACAATTATTGAATAAAACGCCTTCTTCTCAACAAATTGTGAGTTTATAACCATAATTGCAAATGGTTTTCCTAGGATTTAATGATGTCAAAACCCTGCTACTAACATCTATAAATTCGTAGTGTATATATCAATGATTGACAGAATAAAATGACTAATTAATTAAGCTATTGATTAGGCGATCTACACGGGATCAAAGATTGAAGATCCTACATTTTTCCAATTTTAAGTGCAGCTCAAAAAAGGCCTTCAATAATTAGCTAACTATATTTTCAATTTATTCAAGAAAATTCACATCTAGAGTTTACCTCTAAGGCCGGCATTGTTAATCACCCGTCGATTTTTCCAAAGGCATCCAGGCCTTGTGCACAAAAGCCTCAATGGCGGGTCTTCTTGTGGTGACTTCGAGCTCGATGGCCACGACTCTAGGTTGGGCTTGTCTCGGGACATTGATCACATCGCAGAATGACTGTAAGCAGGCGTAGGCGGCTGTTGTTATTCGACAACCGACCATGGCCAGGTTGTTGGGCTCAGATGCGCAAATGTGGAGGTGTAAATTAAAACACCGATGTAAAATGGTAAACAATAATATCAATCTCAGCAACTCAAGAATGACAAATAAAAATCTCTTGCAATAAAACATGAATAATTCTTTTTTTGATGTGGAAGATCAGATTAAACTGCTACCACAGAATATACTAAGAATATCCCAAATAAATAAAATATGCAAGAACAATGACACCAAGATTTAACGTGGAAAAACCTTCAATGTAGAGGAAAAAACCACGGGACAACCTCCGAACAATTCCACTATATTTTCAAGATAATTACAATATTTTTTCACACTCCCCTACACTAGAAATGTAAAATATACTGACCTAGTGAGACCCCATACTCCTATTCAAATATTACAAACAAAGAGTAATAGAGATGATACTCAACCCGGTTTATTTTTTCCACACTCATAGAATTTACTCAAACACTCTATTTTCCCTCACTTAAAAAATTCTCACATAGAAACTAATTTTTTGTTTATGTTCCTTATGTTTTCTCCTCTCTTTGGTGTGTTTGTTTCAGAAGAATGCCCCCTCTATTTATAGAGGGGGCGCTGCTCCTTCCTCTTTCTCTCCTTTTTTTATTTTTTTATTATTTTTCTTCTTCTTCTGATAATGTTGCGCCTACCAATATTGACTTCTGGGCTGGATTCCACACAGGCACAAGTAGAAGCCGCGGTCCAGACCTGAAGACGTTTCAGTTAAGTGTCTAGACATTAACCAACAAGAAAAAATCAAGTTAAAGGAAAGGGGAAAATGCTTGCTGAGGTACCCATTCACTTTGGAGATGTTGGGTTCAAAGCCAGTACGGGGGCGAGATCCACTGTTTGTCCCGTTTTCTTTGCTATTTTCGTTGATATTTTGTGTGTCGTTTTCCCCCTTTTTAGTCTTTTCTTAGGTATTTCCGGTCCTTTTTTGTCGTTTCTTGCTTCTATCTTCATTTTGGCTTGTTTAGTATTTTTCTTGTTTTCTTTCCTATTTTCTTTGTTTTTCGTGTTTTAACGGTTGTGGTGATTCCAGGTCTTAGGTTGACCGGATCGACGAACATTCTGACGAGAAGGGAAGTGTGTTGTTCGAGCATCATTTTTGAGGACCCAAACATGCGAGGATCAAATCTCCAGCTCGGGCAGTACCCGAGCGACATGGACGAGCACGCGAGCCGAAGAAAAGCCACAACTTTAATTTTCCAGGCCTTAGCGCCGCTAAGGTTCCTTAGCTCCACTAAGGCCATAGTGGATAGCGGCGTTTTGAAGCTTAACGGGGACAGACATGAGCAGCTAACGAGGCTTAGCGGCGCTAAGGAGCCTTTGCGCCGCTAAGGTGGCTTAGCGGCGTTAAGAAGCCTTAGCGCCGCTAAGGTCTGTTTTGTAACAGACACAGCTTTCATGTGATTTCGAATTTGGGATGTTTATGATCGAGCCTAGGGGAAATTTTCAGACATTCTGACTTCGTTTTTTTCTTAGTTTTTCGTTGCCAAAACATATTTTCACTTGTTTTTCATCTTGGATTAGATTTTGAGATTGAAGAAATTTTCTAGCTTTTGGATTCGGTTTGCTCGTTGTTCTTTCGACATTGGATTTGGTATTAATCGTAAGCTTTTCTTTTCATTTTATACATGAATGTGATGGCTTCTTTTATTGTGAATGTTTGTGTTGAGATTGCGATGAGTGGCTAATTCCAATAGCTAGGGTTAGGGGATAATCGTTCCGGTTCAATTTTGTTTATGTGTATGATTAATTGCTCAATCTTTTTGAGTTGTGCTTAACCTAGGGTTTAGATGCTTGATCACCATCTTAATCTAATTAATCGATTTTGAGACCGAAAGGGGAGAACTCGTTCGACCTAGGCTCGTTAAGAATAGACTTGTTCGGTAACGTATTGTCTATATGCTAATTGATTCGTTATTGATTTGTTTACGTTTATTCTCTTGTTTCGTGAGATATTGAGAATGAACCTCTAGATGAGTTAGTGTTTGAGTCCTTTAGTTGAGTAATTGATTGTTCGTAAATTGTTTTGAGAACCGGAAATGATATCTCCGATACCCTAGCCCCCCTTTATCATTATTTGAGTTTAAACTTTGAATTGCGAGTTTTGAAATAGATAGTCTTGTTCTTATTATTCGTAGTTGTTAAAATCAAACCAAGCCAATCGAATTAAAGTGTTTAGGATTTTCATTCCTTTTATTTTCCATTTTTTTTTGTGTTTGAATAATCGTACAAAATAATCCGGATGACCTTCCTCGAGTGATACGACCCGGTGTCGAATCTTTTGATTTAACTCCGGAAAAAATATTTACAACAAATTGGCGCCGTTGCCGGGGAAGGTTTAGGACTTATTTTGTGCGCCCATTCATTTTGTTTTCAGTATTTCTCTTGTTTTCTTAATTTTTTTATTCTTGTGTTTTTTTTGTTTGATTTCTTTGTTTAGTTGTAGTGATTTTCTTTGATTTGTTTTTCCTTGTTCTTTCTCTTGTCTATCTGGTGCCCGTGATGTTTTGTTGTTTGTGTTTATGCGTACCAGGAGTGGTTGTGTAATCATCTCAAACGACGAATCCATCCAACAAGACTTACGAGACTTATTAGCTAGTCTTGCACCAGTATCATCTATGTCAGAAAACCAAACCGACATGGCACATAATGAGCAAGATGAGGAAGTTAATAATCCTCTGAGGCCTCTTCTTCGCGATTTGGCTCAACCGGTGATTGGGCCAGTAACTTCTTGCATCCGACTGGGGACAACAGATCAGAACTACGAACTCAAAACCATCCACTACAACCAACTCCCATCCTTCCATGGTCTTCCCACTGAAGATCCACTTCATTTCATGCGTGAATTCTACAATGTCCTCCAAACATTTCCACTCCACGGACTAAATGAGGACCAGTTGAAGATGAGGTGTTTTCTAGAAACAATCAAGGATCGGGCTAAGGCGTGGCTGATGACACTTGCTCCAGACTCTCTTACCACTTGGGAGCAAGTGTACATGAAGTTCATCGGGAGGTACTACTCCCATCAGAAGACTCAAGAACTGCGGTCGCAAATTGTCTCTTTTGCCCAACAACCGCACGAGCCACTTCACGAAGCGTGGGAACGCTTCAAGGACCTACAGAGACTGTGCCCACATCACAATCTTCCTCCGGCCCTTTTGATGAACGGATTCTATGATTCTCTCCACCAGAACCTTCAGTACATGGTGGACAATGCAGCTGGTGGAGACATCGGGGCAAGAACGGCAGAGAAGATGATGGATATCTTTGAGGTGTTGAGTTCTAGCTCGTCTCAAAAGATCAGTCGAGGGAAGAGAGCGGTGGTAAACGAGGCATCTCCAAGGCAGGACATGATGGCCCATCAGATAGCTGAGCTTGCGGAGCAAATGCGGCTTATGAATGCTCGGACAATGCAGCCAGTACAAACCATGGCAGTGGATACATGTTGAGCTTGTGGAGCTTAAGGGCACAGGTCGGAGGTGTGCCCATCGGCATTCGATCAGGACCTTGGAGAGCAATATGCCGACGTCAATGCTCTTCAAGGATATTAGAATCGGCAGCCCAATGACCCCTTCTCCAACACTTACAATCCTGGGTGGAGAAATCACCCGCACTTCTCGTGGTCCAACAACAACAACACTCTCCAGCCACCTCGTCCAAACTTCAACCAACAGCAGCCTCGTCCAAACTTCAACCAACAGCAACCTCGTCCAAACTTCAACCAACAGCAACCCCGTCCCAACTTTATCCCCCTTCCGAATTACCAACAACAACAGCAACCTCAACAACAAGCCCAAGGGTCCGGTTCGAGCTCGTCGAACCAAGATGACAAGCTGGACAAGATCCTTCAGTTCATCACGAACCAAGATTCATCGATTAAGCGTCTTGAGACGCAAGTGGGCCAACTTGCCACGAGAGTAGGGAACATGGAGGTCGAGTGCGACAAAGGGAAACTTCCGAGCCAGCCCGAGCAAGCCAAGGCAATAACGGTGTTGAGGAGCGGGAAGGAAGTGGACAACAAAGTAAGAATGCTTGAGCCCGATGACCCCAAACCAACCGACCAGCCCAAGGAAATCGAGGAGATCGCAAAGAGCACAGAATCTGACTCGAGAAAACCAAAAGACGGCTCGTTGTTGCACAAGTCCCCGAACCCCTACAAACCATGCATACCTTTTCCGAGCCGACTTCGGGATGAGAAGCAAGAGCAGCAATTCCGGGATCTATACAACATGCTCTTAAATGTCAACGTGAACTTGCCTCTCCTAGACGTGATCAAGAACATGCCATCATATGTGAAGTTCTTCAAAGCCTTGGTCACAAAGAAGAGGAAGTTTGGCGATGGGGAGAAGGTGGTAGTCTATGAGGCGGTGAATGCCATGCAGCATGACCTTCCGAAGATAGAAAGAGACCCCCGGGAGCTTCGTGATAAAAATCTCCCTCGGGAATGGGAAGGAAGCTTCGGGAATGCTTGACCTCGGAGCGGGAATCACCCTTATGCCGTTTTCCATTTTCAACGGCTTGGTCTTGGTGATTTGAGACCAACCCGTGCCTCCAGCTTGCCGACCGTTCAATTCGATACCCCAAGGGGGTAGTTGAAGATGTTCTTGTTCGCGTAGGAAGGCTTATCGTTCCTGTGGACTTTGTTGTTCTGGATGTGGGGGACGTGCACGAAAACGGGAAAGACCATACTATCCTTCTGGGCCGACCATTTATGTCTACCACCAACACGCTCATAGATGTGAAGAACGGGACCTTGAACATGACGGTCTTAGGAGAATCCGTATCTATCTCAGTCCGAGAGGCCACCTCGACATACTCGGTAAACTTTGTGGAAGAGTGTGCCTTTGTTGATGTGAGTGACCCGTTCGTGGAAGAAATACCCGTTCGAGATTTAGAAGAGAGATTGATGCCCGATATTGAAGAAGAAGAAGAGCCAACCATTGAGCTCTTCGTAGCTGACGAGCCCGGTAAAC